CTTAGGTACTTGCTCACTATGTTTTCAAAAGAGTTTGCTTTTCTTGTGTATGTGGGTTTTGAAAAAGTTTAGTTTGAAAACTTCTAGGTAACTCTTGTATCAGTCCTCAAGAGTGTATGAAGTGTTTGTTTGAAAACTTTTTGAAAGTGTAAGTGCGAAAAGTTGTTTTTGTTTTTTGAAAGAGCAAGTACCCAGGAGAAATCTACCTACTCTAAGGAATTAAGCTGTGTAAATGTCCTTTAGACAGTGCTATCCCACTATTGAGAAGTAGGTAGCACCGTCGTCGGAGTTATTCGGGTCAATTCGATTATAGGGACATGTGTGGTCACCAAAGCAATAGTAGGATGCCTTAGCGGTAACCCTAATGTCCTAGATCCTTTTTTATCCGAGGAAACCGTTTCGAGGCAACTGGATCTTTAGACAGGAGGGCGACCTCTAAAATACCCTATACTTAATGACCACTTCGAGGCAACCGAGTGAAGCGTACCCTAAGAGTGGCATGTGCACGTGTGTCAGGTTTCATGTTAAGTTATCTTGAACATGTATCATGGTGAGCTACGTTTTGATTTTAATTTTCAGGCAAGTCTTGTCATGCATAATTAACAGTTAATAATTGTGCGGGAAATAAATTGCGGAAAGTGAATCTACGCTATTACAAGGCGTCGGGTATTTACATCGCCAAAAACATAACCCTTGAAAAATAAATGCGAGAAATTAAAGGAAAGCGATAAAAGTCCTAATTATCTATAATATTCTCGGAGCAGATACATAAATATGACCAAAATAATAATAATGCGCGAATAGAAATTGAATCGGAGAAGTCCTTAGGGTTTTGACCCTTTTTGAGAAAAGAATGGATTTTGGTCCTTTTTTTGCATTTAATTAAATATTAATCCTAAAACTAATTAATTAATTATTTAAAAGAAAAAAGTATTTTTTATGTTTTTTTTATGTTTTAATGAAAATAAAAATAAAAGAAATTAAAAGTTGTCAAAAGAAAAAACCTAATTCTAGATTGATTTTAAATGTTGCAAAAAAAAGTCAAAGTTAACCTAATTTAAAAGACTAAATCAATTTTGTTAGTATTTATTTACAAAATAATAATTAATAGTGAAATTAATAAATAATAATATTAATAAAAATATTTACATTTTTTAGTTGTCTGAATTTATTATAAAAATTAATTAATTTGTGAGTTAAATAATAATAATGATAATTAAATAATAATAATAAAAATTAAAATGTAAAAGAAAAAGGAATAGAGAAACCAGGGGGTGCTGGCCCAAAGAGGAGGCTTGTTTGTAAATTCCAAGCCCACTAACAATCAAGCCACGTTTGACTTTGGAGATCAGCTGCACATGCATTGACTAGGAGTACCATGGTCTTCCAATCATGACCATCAGATTCCAGCTTGTGGCCACTTGGCGCCTGGGATTTGAAAGTGTATGGTGGAATGCTTTTAGGATGCCTGCACGTGAACATGTTATGAAAAATATTATAAGCTTTTGGGTGGACCTGGGAATCGAACCCAGGTCCCAATGATACACAGCCAGCACACCATCCACTACACCAACTTGCACGCTTTGTTATTATAATGAGCAATGAAATTAATATATAAAAACAACAATTATGCTGGAAAGTAAATAAAATGCGCGCTATTTTTTGAATTGGCTAATCATGTGATAACACGCATTCGTCTTCTTCCTTATGCCTGCAAAAAACAAATTAGATAGCGGGGGTTTTTAACCCCCACAATTTAACATGAGGAATAATAGCGAATAGGTCCCTGATGCACATAAATATTTCGCGAGGGTGGTTTTAGATTCGTCTGGTTCTCACGAATCTAACCATGGGTCTCTCAAGGCTTGATTTTTCCTGTACAGCAAAGCCCTAATTTACACGCTTATGAACCCTAAAATTCATCAATGGCATTTTTGGATTCTGGGTGTTTCAATGCAATTAAACTATGCCATTAGTTTCCTGTGAGTTCTAGCAACACAAAACATACAAGAAATCATGTTAATGATGCACAAATCATGAGTTTCGAGTATGGAAAAAATATGCAAACCGTGAGTTTGTTCTTGACAGTTTCTTGAGCTTTAGCGCTTGGTTTTGATTGCAATCTGTCTCTGGGAACCCCTGCAATGTATTAGAAACAATAAAAAGCTTTAAATCACGTTAGAATGTGGAAATCAATTTTCACTTTTTCTTGGATTTTTTTTTAATGTGATTATGGCTTTCTTGCAGCAAATTCTCGTCCATGGCATTAGGTTTAGGTTGTGTACTTATAGAGGACTGAATTTAGGTTAAATCTTTGCCAAGAAATCCATGGAATTGATGTTTCAATATTTGATTGAAAATCAAATATTTTTCAATCTTTTTGGTTGGAAAAACTTGCCAAACTTGGAGATTCTTGTCTCTTTGATTGATGCACGAAATTGCCAGCATATATTGAGCTTGTTTGCTTCACAAAAGATTGAAAAAACCATATCTTTGAATTTCCTACAATTTAAATTAATTAAATGAATTAAAATCAATTAAAAATCCAATTAATTAATAAAAAATAAGAAAATAAATTAAAATAATCTCAATGGGTCGTGCATAAGCTTTGGATAAAGTTTCAAGAAGGAATTTGAGGCCCATTAGCAAAAACAAAGTGTTTTGAGCAAAGTTGACTTTTGCAAATTCATGAAAATTTCCCAACTTCTCCAATGCATATCTTGCTCAATTTGGATCATATGAACATGTTCTTGGACATTTTGGAAAGGTCTTGAAGTCCTCTAACCAATGCCTTTGATCCCATGTTATTTGGATTCACCAATCTCAAGTTATGGTCTTTGACTTAAAATGCCTTTTTGTTGACTTTTGAAATTGACCTATAATGTAGAAATTGATAACTTTTTGTGAGAGCATTTCTTGGACTTGGAATGTGAAGATGAGTTGTAGGAGATGTCATCCCCTTCAAAATGAGAATTGGATGGGATTTTTCTGATGAACCATGAAAAAGTTATGCCTTGGTCAAGATACAGTTGACTTTTCTACTGTCCAAAAATAGCAACTTTTTGCATCTTGATGATTTTTGAGCCATGCTTGTGGAATCATGATCAAGACTTGATCAAATGATGATTGTGTGCTCAAAATAAGATGTTGACCAAAAATTCTTCCTTTTGACTGCAAAATGACCATTTTACCCCTGTAGTTGAATGTGGATCAAATGGAGCTTTTGACTGTGCAAATTGACACTGTGAGTCTTGAGAATTGGTATGTAGGTGCTTGAGAATGTAAATAGGCCCATGTGACTTGATTGAGCCATTGAAAACCTCAAATTCCTTGAGAGAACCAAAACCCTAATTTTGACTGGCTTAGGAGGCATTTGGACTGTGCAACCCTTGAGCAATTTTGAACCATTTGAAGATGATTCTTGACAAACCTTGAAGAATATGGGAGGGAAAATTTTGGGGTACAACAGGAGGGAAATTCAAACTTTATCATTTTTTAAAAGAAGTCATATTCCCCTATATGAATCAAAGTTATACTCCAAATCCAAATTTCATTCACCGTTCAAGTGACCATAATGCAATATCATTCAAGGTTTTCAAACATCTTTAAGACAAAATTTTAAATAGAAATTCAAGAGCAAAAGGCAAAAATCAATGAGGTTTGAAGATGTGAATTCGAAATTGAAAGAAGAGAAATGACTGAAGAGGATATCATTACATCAAAGGTCACCGTTTACATTATCATTTCAAATACATCACAAATATCAAGAAGATTACATCAAGCCATTTACACCACAAACCTATCCTGGGTCTAATCTCTAATGTGTCCCCATGCCCCCAAAACCTTCATAGTCTCCAAGATTCCATCATCATGGCTAACCTTTCAACTTCATGCTCTTCACGTTGCAATTCTCTTCATTCTAAGTTCATGGCCTGCACATTCATACAAAAAAATCCAAGTCAATACAAGCAATCGTGCCAAAAGAATAGGTCCACATCATCCAAATTCATCTTTCTCATTCTAACTCTCACACTCCATGTCCCATAACAACTACTTGCCCCATTTTCTTTCTTCAATGACACACAACACACTCTCTATAATGGATATAGGGATAGTACTAATGGTGTTAGTTTTGAGTTTTGGAATTGGAAGTACACAACAAGTACCTTTCTATTTTATATTTGGAGACTCTTTGGTTGATAATGGTAACAACAACCAGCTCACTTCAATTGCAAAAGCTAATTATGCACCTTACGGAATTGACTTTCCTGGCGGACCAACTGGAAGATTTTCTAATGGCAAAACTTTTGTTGATGTAATTGCTGAGAAATTGGGATTCAACAGTCACATATCTTCGTATGCATCAGCTAGAGGCCGAGACATACTAAGAGGAGTCAATTATTCTTCGGCAGCTGCTGGAATTAGACAGGAAACTGGACAATAATTGGGACAAAGAATTAATTTTATAGGTCAAGTGGTAAATTACCAAAGGGCAGTGTCTCAGTTAGTAAATAATTTTGGAGATGAGAATACTACTACAAATTATCTAAGCAGATGCATTTGTACAATTGGATTGGGAAGTAATGATTACCTTAACAACTATTTCATGCCTCAAATCTATTCTAGCAGTAGGAAATTCACACCACAGCAGTATGCTAATGTTCTTCTTCAAGCATATGCTCAACAACTCAGGATTCTATATACCTATGGAGCAAGGAAAATGGAATTATTTGGAGTTGGTCAAATAGGTTGAAATCCAAGTGAATTGGCTCAAAACAGCCCAGGTGATAGAACATGTGTAGCTAGAATCAATTCTGCAAATCAGTTATTCAAAAATGGATTAAAATCTCTCGTTGATCAATTCAATAACCAATTTCCTAATGCAAAATTCATCTATATAAATGTTTATAGTATCTTTGGAGACATCATAAACAACCCATCAGCCTAAGGTTTCAGAGTAACAAATACTGGATGTTATGGTGTAGGAAGGTACAATTTGACTAGGATAGTTTACGAAGAAAAGCGCAAGCTAATGCTGGGAAAAGGAAAAAAACAGAATTGTAACATAATTTCTAATTTCCCATAATAGTCCAAACAGAATTGTGACAGAAATTTCCAACTAACTCCTTACTTACCAACGTAACCATAATCAACAGCAACGTCTTTGTGATCTCCATCATCACAGTCTTTGTGATCTCCGTCATCATAACCTTCTTTTGCATCATCTTTGCAGCATCTCAACATCAACCATATTTTGCATCATCTTCAATCTCCACTACTGATTCAAGTCAGATCTTTAATCAATCATCACTATGCTTCGTTCGTGAATCTCGGAATTTTCAATATCTCATCAATTTTTCTGCACAGATCAAAAAAAGAATGTATTAACAGAACAACTCCTGCATTCTCAGTTTCAATGCAACTAATAGTTTTTAGCATTAAACTCATGATAACCAAGCATTATCCAACATAATTGACAACTAACTTTCCTAACTGTCAAACAAATTTTTTTCTAAACAGCCCTCTAAACTTCTAACAGATTCACTAACCTCCAAACTGTTTTTTCCTAAGCCAATTTATATACCAAACTTTCTAACAGAATTCTAACTAACACTAACAACTTTCTAACCAACTTCCTAATCTCTAAAACCAATTAGCAGAAAGAATAACAAACTCTAACAGTAATATAACCAATTCAAATCTAACCCTTCATCTCATAACTAACTCCCCAGATACTATGATTGAGAATCATCAACCTTTAACAATTTTCTCTTCCCCCAATCCCTATATAACCTCTTCTCCACGATCATTCAAGGATTTTTTCACCACCAATTTTCAGCTTCCAGAACCACTGAATCTACACCATTGATTCTTCACTCTCCCATACCTCACCACACGCTCTCTTCAAAAAGCCGTTAAAGCTTCACATTGAAGCTTCAATTGTTCGTGTTTATACTTCTGCAACTCTCACTCTCTACTGGATCGTCAACATCACATAGCACTCTCATAACTTTCCCTCTGGTTTCCGTATTCCTATCGTGATCACAAAATAACACGGAATCACGATAAAAATGGAGTAGAAGAAAAAGAAGATGAGTAGACAACACAAGAAACAGAAGAAAAACGCGTAAGCATAAGAATCAAACACGCAAGAAGAATAACTAGAGTTACATGAAATCTTCTGGAGTTCTTATGCAACCGGCACCGTCGAAGAAGCATCGAAATTTCTCGGCTATGTAAGCTGCGATTTACTTCATTTCTTCATTCTTGTAGCGGTTTGTATCACTATAATGTAACCATCAATTCCTCTAAGGGTTTTACGTGTGTCCTCGGCATTTGGTTCCTTCCCTTTTTTCAATTTTTAGGGTTTATGAGATTGTAGATTTAGGTTAATACGAGTGAAATTTGAGGAAAAAAGCTTAGGATTAGGAATCAGGGCACGATTCTGATTGAGTTTGGTGTTTAACGCTTCACGATTTGGGAATTGCTGGTTGTTGTTTGACGGTGGGGGTATGGCGGCGAGCTTTGTTGAATAAGGGCGAATAAGGAAGATGAGAGGGAAGAGACTGTTCTGTGAGCAAAACGCCACCATTTCCGGTTCTGTAATTTCTTTATTCGTTGATTTTATTTCTTTTCAATATTAATGATAAAAATCTATTGAGTGGATCGGGCTTGCACCTCATAGGCCCGCTTGTGCCTATTTTTGGACCATTGACATAAAAAAACCTTCTGTTGGATTCTACATTAGTGGGCCTAGTACCTTGATAAATAAAAGGAGCATTGGATTATTTTGGTTTGGGTTAGTATCAGATTACTTCAGCACCCCCTGATTGTAATATAATACCCCCTGAGTTTATTATTTCAATATTTTCCTTTTAAATAATTTTGTGAATTGTTTAGATTTGTTGACTTTTTTTCTTTTCTTCTTTCTCCCACATGATAAGAATAATAAAGTCAAATACAAAAATTTGTTAGTTTTTATGTGATTTTAGGAAGTAAATCCCGATTACCCAATTATACTTGAAATTCATGATTCACCTTTGCTTGTTGAGATTTAAATCTTATGCAGGTTCATTAGGCGGTATGCAGATACGCTTGAAATTTCGAGTGTGACATATTTTCACATCGATGATGCTTCAACACTTATTCCGAGTATTGGATTTCTAACTCTTTTCTTTGTTGATGCTAACAGCTCACGAGATCGTCGAGTATCTTTGCTTTTTCTGCTTTGCTCTATAGGCTAGTACTCGTTTGGTATAGTTTCTTTCTATTTTCACCCTGCATTTATCCATTCCCGTAGATTGTGTGAAGTATAATAAAATTAGGTTTAGAAATAGGCTAGTCTCACCTGGAATTTTCTTTTTCTTTTTGCATATACATTAACACAAAAAAAAAACTTCTTTTTCTTACAAACCTCAAAATACTTAAAAATTTACTGACAAGAATCATGTCTTTGCTAAGTTTGGGAGATGATAAGTGGGTTTCTTCTCGATCTTATTATTCTCTTATTCTAAGCCTTGGCATGGTACAAGTCTCAAAGAATCATTTCATGAATAAGTAGAGACATGGCTAAAATCTCTCTCTTGAGATCAACTAGCTATTATCTACAAGCAAAAACACCAAACAATACAAACTCTTTTGCCTTCGGGCCTTTCTTTCAAAACCTTTTCAGGTAGAGCATGTTAATTCACTTATGTGCTGACGCGTAAGTCTCCAAAGGTCGAGTTGCGGAAGAAGGCGAAATTAATATTGTTCATTACAACCACAATCCAATTCAAACTTTTTGTGCGCCCAGGCACGTTTTCTCCAAACCTTTTCAGAAAGAATATGTTAATTCACTTCTGTACTAACGCGTAAGTCTCTAAAGGTCGAGTTGTGGCAGAAGGTGAAATTAATATTGTTCAGTAAAAAATACAAACCAACAAAAAACATAAGCCGAACTACGGCTGCTCTGATTCCTTAAAAGGGATACGTAGGCATCGGGGTAGGGCCCGAACGAGCACAATTTTATTTTCCCTACATTCTTTTCTCTTTTATTTTTCATGCATTCCCTGTACAACTTAGATATAGATTGAACACACTCATAAGATAGACAACAAGAATGGATACCGTAGAGTACTACGGGCGTGTGGGGTGCTAATACCTTCCCCTCGTGTAACAGACTCCCTTACCCTTATCTCTCGGTCGCAAGACCGTGACTTCTCCCTTCTCAGGTTTTCTTGATGTTTACCTTTCCCTTCCTGTAGGATAAAAAACGTTCAATGGAGACTTCATTGTTTGATGATTTTCAGCCTGTTGTTTCAGAGATCTTTACAATTCAATTTACTTTGGGATTTGTGATGAAACAATGACAACAAAGATGGTGATCCCAAGAATGAACAAACTCCGTTTGTTTTAAGAAGATTTACTTCTTTCATGAAGGTTTTCTCAGGTCATTTTGCTGGTGGGCGAAATCTTTGTGTGTTTCTCAGATAGTTAAAGACGATATCAGTGGGTACAAGGTACAATATTGGGTTTGTGACTCCACTATCCCCAGTTAAGTCTTGGTTCATTTTTTTCGGGTTTGCATGATCAGAATCCTTTGTCCTAGAGTCCCCAACAAAGTCTTTCCTCATATTATGAAAGGTTTTATTCCCTTGGTGTGCTGGGATGTCGCTCTTTTTGCAGTTTTGGCATTAATGTTGACTTCTTGATTTCCCGGGAAGGTTATCCCAGGGCATCTCTTGTTGGAATGAGTATTCGTGATGAAAGTTTCAGTCCGCAGTTTTTCTCCAGGGAGGTAGGCTTGAATCCCCCAGTGAGGCTTGGTTGTTTTGGCATCAGTCTGCTTTATTTGAGATTGATCTTGCAATCTCCAGTAGGCATGTTTCTTTTGGAAACCCTTTTTCTCCGATGAAACTGGAAGAAGAATGTTCTATCCCAGTATCTGTTTGATTTAGCTACATCCAAATTTTGTTTCTCCTCAGTGAAGTTAAAACAATAAGTTTGGTTTCTGCAGTTACCTTTCTTGGATTGATCTTTCTGTTTGAAGCTTAGCCCAATGTTGTTAGTACCTGAGGCGGTTTCGTTTGTCTGCGCTGATTATGTATCCTTTTTACCAGCATATGCACAATAGCACTAATACATTCATACATACATCATGCATTGCTAAAAATCATCATTCATTGACATTGTGTTCTGACCTTTCTGGCAGCGCTCTTTTCTTAGTTGAATTTGGTTTTCCCTCTTGAGTTTATTTCTCAAAGGATGAATCTGCATTGGACGTCTTGCTCTAGTTTATTTCTGAATTGGATTTTTAGTTTTCTGAAAACTTTGAGTTTTGGTTTGTGCATTTATTTTGCACAGGAAGAATTTATCTCCTCAGCAGGAATATCGTGGTATTTCCCCGGGAAGTCATATTTCTATCCATAGAAATTCATTTCTCTTTGCAATTCACCTTGACAATAAGTGGAAGTCTCTTTATTTGAGACATATCACGTATTACCCTTTCCAGGAAGATTTCCTTGGTTAAAGAAGAAGTTGAGACTCGTTCTTGGCAAAACACTAGAATCTTGGGGAAACTATGATATATTTACTCTTTCTACGTTCAGTGAATGTTGGTAGCATATCGGCAGTGAACGTCGGTGTTTCTTATCTTTTTGCTATCTTCAGTGGACGTTGATAGTTCATCGTCAGTGAACGGTGGTGATATGATATATTTACTCTTTCTACCTTCAGTGAACATCGGTGTTTCTTATATTTTTTCTATCTTCAGTGAACGTTGATAGTTCATCGTCAGTGAACGGAAGTGATATGATATATTTACTCTTTCTACCTTCAGTGAACGTTGGTAGTACATCGGCAGTGAACGTCGGTGTTTCTTATCTTTTTGCTATCTTCAGTGAACGTTGATAGTTCATCGTCAGTGAACGGCGGTGATATGATATATTTACTCTTTCTACCTTCAGTGAACGTTAGTAGTACATCGGCAGTGAACATCAGTGTTTCTTATCTTTTTGCTATCTTCAGTGAACGTTGATAGTTCATCGTCAGTGAATGGCGGTGATATGATATATTTACTCTTTCTACCTTTGGTGAATGTTGGTAGTACATCGGCAGTGAACGTCGGTGTTTCTTATCTTTTTTCTATCTTCGGTGAATGTTGATAGTTCATCGTCAGTGAACGGTGATGATATGATATATTTACTCTTTCTACCTTCAGTGAACGTTGGTAGTACATCGGCAGTGAACGTTGGTGTTTCTTATCTTTTTGCTATCTTTAGTTAACGTCGATAGTTCATCGTCAGTGTACGGCGGTGATATGATATATTTACTCTTTCTACCTTCAGTGAACGTTGGTAGCACATCGGTAGTGAACATCGGTGTCTCTTATCTCTTTTCTATCTTCAGTGAACGTCGATAGTTCATCGTCAGTGAACGGCGATGGTATGATATATTCAGTGAATGTTGATAGTACATCGGCAGTGAACGTCAATGCTTGTTATCCTCCTCTCTGATTCTGTTCTCGTGGTTTACCAGTGATTTATTTTTCTGGTGGGGTTGCTCCTCTGTTTCTACATTTTGTGTTGCATCCCCAATGCTACTTTGCGTCTCTTTTGTTCCATTCATATGCATTCATATGCATAAACATTTTCATGGCATCTTAGGGCCAAAAACAGGGTTTGTTTTATATTTAAGTGTCTTCGATCACGTTGACACGAAGATTTTTAACCTTCGTATCTCTGGATAGAAGAAACTTAAATAAGGGCAGTTGTTGTACCCCAATTGTTTCCCCTAAGATCCCTTCATCATACCATATTGTTTCAATTACAACAAAATCACATTAGGGCTTTTGGTTCTTCTCCTTATCTTTAGCCTTGCTCTTTTGAGGAATTACCAAGCACCTTAACTTGTTTTCTTTTGTGATCATGGATATTTTTCTTTGATTTTCTCTCTAATTAACAAAATGCAATATTGGTTTGTCTTACTTGTTAATAATGTAGGTAAAGGCAATGAGGTTTAGCAAATTACTTCATGGGTTCATGAGTTTATTTCCATGCCCTAGTCAAAAGCTTGAGAAATTCAAACCTCACCATTGAAGTTGTTTTGAAGTTGGTATGGAAGTGGTTTTGGTGGCCATGAGTCCTCATCATCATCCTCAACAATTTCTATTCACAAAGGAAGAATATTAGCACAAAAAGTTTGTTCAAACTTGGCAAAGTTCCACCAAGCATTCTCTTGATCTAGAGGCTAGGGTTTTGGACTTCAAAGGGGCATATCTTGTTCATCTTTTGGTATTTTTGAGTGATTCAAAAAACATTCTTCTCCTTAAAGAGTTACAAACAAATAACTTCAAAAGTTACAAGGAGTTTTCATGTGGAAGGAACTTGGTGAAGATGGAAGATTACAAGTCATCCAGATGAATCACCAATTTTCCATATGTGATTCAAATGGTCATAACTTGGTCAATTTTTATCACCTTGAGCCCATTATTTTTTCATGATGATCCTAAGGATGTGTACTTCATGTCATCTTTTATGTGCAAAGTAAGAAAATGGATGGAAGTTGCCTTAAGAATGCAAGAGATTATAGGTCATTTCATGATTTTTGGTC